TGGAGGGATAATCCAAGATCCATCTGTCATCAAAGCTTGTGTCAAAGACCATTTTTTTGGAATTTTCAACGCTAGTTCTACTTTGGAAGTAGAAGATATGAAGATGAATTTTTCAAAAATCTCAGTGGAGCAAAGTAATATTCTGGAAAAAGAATTCACGGAGGAAGAAATATGGGAGACTCTACAATCGTGTGATAGCAACAAAGCTCCCGGCCCGGATGGTTTTAATATGGGCTTCTTCAAGAAATTTTGGGTTGTTCTTAAGGTTGATATTCTGAAATTCTTTCATAACTTTTATTTAGGGAAAGATTGGGAACATGGAGTAAATCATACTTTCATTACTCTTATCCCCAAGGTGGCCAATATTGGTGGATTAGATGACTATAGACCTATAAGCCTTGTAGGAGGTTTGTACAAGATCCTCTCAAAATGTCTTTCGAGGAGATTAAGGAATTGCATTTCCGATGTAATAAGCCCTATGCAGTTTGCTTTCATTCCAGGTCGTCAAATTCTGGATTGTTTCTTATAGCCAATGAGGGATTGATTTCTGGAGGAAAAAGGACTTAAAGGATGTGTGTTTAAAGTGGATTTTAGAAGGGCTTACGACACTGTGGATTGGTCTATTCTTTTTAAGGTTATGGAGAAAATGGGTTTCGGTTCTAAATGGAGAAGTTGGATAAAACAGTGTGTTACTACTGCTTCTATTTCAGTATTGATAAATGGGGTACCTTCTCAGGAATTTCCTATGGCAAGGGGTCTCCGCCAGGGTGTTCTCTTCGCCCTTGCTTTTTAACATAGTTGGGGAACTCCTAAATGTTTTGCTTTTAAAGGCTGTCTCTGATGGATTGTTTTCTGGTCTGCATATTGGGAGGAATGAGACTGCTTTCAACTTATCTCATCTGCAATTTGCAGACGACCTAATTATTTTCTGTGGGGCTTCGAAAATGGAAATTTCAAATGTTAAAAGGGTCTTAAGAGTGTTTGAAGTTATGTCTGGTCTGCAGTTGAATTAAGAAAAGCAAGTTATTTGGTGTTAATACGGCTACAGAGGAGGGGAGGAGTGGGCGTCGTATTGGCTGTGCAGTGGGGAATTTCCTTCTATTATCTAGGATTGCCTCTTGGTGCAACACGGAATTCAACCGCTCTTTGGGATCCAGTTGTTTCAAAATTTAACAACAAACTAGCAGGTTGGAAAGCTGCCACCCTTTCCTTGGCAGGGAGACTAGTTTTGATTAAATCGGTTCTCTGTTCTCTTTACTACTACTTGTCTATATTCAAAATTCCATCATCCGTAACTTCTAAACTCAACTCAATCATGTCTAAGTTCTTATGGGGAGGTGGAGCGGAGAAAAATAAGATTTGGGTTAGTTGGCTTAACGTGTGAAGCCAAAGGAGGCTGGTGGTTTAGGAGTGTTAAATATTAGCAATATGAACAGAGCACTATTGGGGAAATGGTCTTGGAGATTTGCAAATGACAAGGATGCGTTGGAGGAGAATGATCTGTTCAAAATACAATATTGATCCTTTTTCTTTATTGTTCAATCGCAAAATCCCAGCTCAAGCTTCTTGGATTTGGAGCTCGGTGGTGAATTCTTATCTCAAAGAAGACTATTTTGGTTGCTATTTTCGCAGCATGTTCAGACTAGAAGTTGGGAATGGTCAATTTATTCAGTTTTGGCAGGACAAATGGGCAATGGACTGCCTCTTAAGGTTTCTTTTCCCAGGTTGTTCGCAATCTCTACAAACCAGCTTGGAAAACTGATCGAATTTGGCGAGTTCAGCTCTTTGGGATGGATCTGGAATATTCAGTTGAGGAGAAGCTTAGCCGATTGGGAATTTGAACAGTGGGCTAACCTGATGGCTATCATTTCTAATTTTATCTGTCTAAAGAGGCAATCGATGGTCTGATCTGGAAAGGAAACGGAATTGGTGTCTATTCTGCTAATTCATGTGTGAAGACTTGTTCTTTGGCTCAGAAGGAGGATTATGTTTGGAAGAAATTTGTGTGGAAAGGTTTGGTGCCACCAAGAGTTGAGGTATTCATGTGGCAGGTAGTTCTTCAAAAACTGCCAGTGAGGTCTGAACTGGTTAAGAGAGGGGTTACGGGTATAACAGATCCCTCTTGTCCTTTATGTAATTTGGAGGTTGAATCTTCTTCTCACTTATTTTTCTCGTGTTCAGTTGTGTGGTCACTTTGGAACAAATTTGTGCAGTATTGGAGTCTTTTTGTGGTTTTTCATACAAATGCGCAGAAGTTTCTTCAAGCTTGGGAAGATATTAATCCTAGGTCTGCCATTTGGAAGTTTATTCCTGCCGTTTTTTTGGACTGTTTGGAAAGTAAGAAATGACATTGTTTTGATAGAGGGAAGTTTGACCATCTTAATCTATTTTCTTAGCAAGAGTACGACTTGCATCTTGGTTTTCAGTAAGTTTGCAGATTCGTTATTTCAATGGATTCTCTAATCGGGGACCGTCTCTTGGGGATTCATGCTTCCCTCTCAACAAATCGATGGTTACTACAGTTCCTTGGTCCCCCCTCCTAAGGGCTTTGTAAAATTGAATGTGGATGCTGCTACAAATTCGGATTGGAACAGCAGTGGAGTTGCGGGTATTCTAAGAGATGAGGAAGGTCTTATTCTAGGATCTTTTAAGGAGGCCACGGGTCCAGGTCCACCTATTATGATGGAGCTAAGGGCTATTCAGAAGGGCTTAATTTTCTTTGATTCAGTGAAAGGAGGTATTAATGGTCGTTTATTGTTAGAATCAGACTGCAAATTGGCAGTGGATTGGGTTAAGAATGGAACTTTCTGCCCTCAGATTTTTGTCAGTCTTGTAAGGAACATAACTATTAGCTAAAAGAAGTTGAGGGTGTTATTAGATGGGTGCTAGGGCAGCCAATATTGGGGATGGGTTGGCTAAATCTGCCATTGGCTAATTCAGTGTAAAAAAAATAAAAAAATAAAATCTATACAAGAAACTTGCAAATTAGGAAAAAAATAACCTTTGCATGTATGCATGCAGATAAGCCAATGTAAATGTAAATATTATCATTGGGGAAACTTGTTAATTAAATTACTTTGATTGGGAACAAATTATAATTAGTTCAAATTCAATTTACTAGTAAAAGAACCAAGTATAACATGCAAGGCACGTTTTGGTTACTAACTATATAAACCAAAGGTAAACCAGCGGGCATAGTGATAAACACATAAAACAACCAATTGGATGAACTAGAATAATCCAGCATCGGTAACTTTCTTACATGGACCCTATTTTCTGTCTGATTCTTTGTTCTTTATACATTATTTTGGTTTTTTACAGCTTCCAAGTATGCGGGATATGTGAATTCCTTCCATATATGCAGCACCGTAAGTTCCTCATGTTTATTTATATTTTTCGTTTTAGCAGCTGATAATTGATGCTTGTTGCTTTCAGAATATGGTATCTTATTTATAAACTATTAAAACTGCTACTTGCACTCTACCTGATATGCTGGTGACTTATGATTCTTGTCAAGTTTGACAAAAAGACAGAAAAATTTGCACTCTACTCTAGGAAACTTGGCTAAGCTAGTAATTGCTAGGAACTTTCAGTTGCATGTTTGAATGCTCTGATATAACCTCTTTCAGATGTTGATTATAAATGATTTACTTCAAAAAGAGAGAAGAAGATTGAGGATTGTATTGTACGATTTCATACACCTGACACCATATGAAATATGCACTATCTCAGATGCTAATTCAATGACAACTGTCACTAAGTTTCCCATGATGTCGGGGCATGCTCGAGTTCAACTTCTATCTTGTGATTTATAAGAAGTCCATTTCCTGTGTGCAGATGGGTCCGGGTTTTCGAGTCTCTATACAGTCATTGTCCAGAGCACACTGTAAGTATTTTATTGCCCGAGTGGATGGTTCCATAGCAACCCAAGTGCATTCACAGAAGCTCCTGTTCAAGGTTTTAAGTTTTTGTCTACTGCCAAGATGTTGATATGGCTAGAATATTTTTGTCTCTTGGATTTCTCATGTATTATGCTGATATTTAAAGCAGCATTAGATTGGTCCCATCTTGTTTAGACCAAGGCAAGTGCCTTTTTAGTTTTTTTTTCCCTGATTTTTTCACTTCTTATGAATTCGATTCTGTACAATCTCTCGTTCTCAAATGTTATCATTTAATCATTTAATAATTATGGCAAGGATTGTTAAATGGGGTGAAACCCCTGGGATTCATATTTTATGGTTACGAACCATATCGGAAATGGAAGAATCCTGGGAGAGGAAGAAGGAAGCTATTTGCTTTTGGTTCGATCATTTAGCTACTCTGTTAGTAAACGGGATTCCACATCAGTATTGTTATATTCACTTATCAGGAGTTCCTCTCACTTGCTGGCACGAAGAGTTATCCTCAAAATTGGGGAACCGTTGTGGGGTGTTTGTTCAAACAGAGGACAGCACCTTGGAGAAGAAGAGATTGGATAGAGCCAGTATGGTTATCAGAATGGCTAATCCCTTGGAAATTCCTAAGTTCATAATAGTGAGAACAATGGGGTCCTTATATCGAGTGGATATTAGTGTAGGAAGTAAAGCTGTTGAGTATGAGATCTCAGCGGTTGATGATTCAGAAGAGAACTATGCTGATGTATGGAAAGATGATGCTGGGAAAACGGATGAGGTGGGGAGCGATGATGCCAACTCTGATTGGAATTTGAATATGCATGGCAGGGACTCCGGCAATTCCCCGATGAATGCTGATCCTACAGTTAACCTTTCGGTTTCCATTTGGCATGCCTCTAATGCGGGCACAATTTCCCAAGTTCCCCAAGCTTCTAGGAGACTTCCGGCTAATGATTATGACTGCGACAGAAGGTGCAGTGATCTAGCTGAAGAGGATAATCACGTGGAAAATATTAATCTAGATTTGGACCAAGTGGTGGGGGCTGTTTTAGGTGTGGTTTAATTAATATTTATGGATCTGTTTTAGAAGAGGAGAAGAACACTTTTATGGTGGAATTATTGAAGGTTATAAAAGCTAGACAGATACCCGGGTGTATATGGGGAGATTTTAACATGTTTTTGGATGTGGAGGAAAAGGTGGGCTTCTCAACGAATCAGGGGATCATTGAGCTTTTTATAAACTTTGTGTTTGAAGCTGGTTTGCTAGATCTTCCGTTAGTTGGAGGAAGATTTACATGGTGCAACAACCGGGTTCCTCCAACTTTTGTCCGACTGGATCGCTTCTTACTGACAGCAGAATTTGAAGTCGCCTTCCCTGATATGTCCCAAAAGTTGCTTCATAAATCGCTTTCGGATCATAACGCTATTCATCTATCCGTCTTTGCTGTTGATTGGGGTCCAAAACCTTTTAGGTTATTGAATCATTGGCTAGAAGATGATGGTTTTGCTGAGCTGGTGTTGACATCCATTACTAATTCAAAGCAGTTAAAACCAAGGATTAGAATTGGAGGTATAATCAGAGAGTCCAAGATGACAATCAAAAAGTGGGTCAAAAGGCAAAATGAGAGTGGCAAAAAATCTTGTGCTATGCTGGAAAAAGAGATTTCAGCTTTGGAAGAAGAAATCCAAAGTGGGAGTGTTGAAGCTGGTGTATTCCACAAATGGAAGGAATTAAGATCTCAACTTTGGGCTGAATACAGAAAGGAGGAATTAACGTGGTTGCAAAAATCTAGACTCAGGTGGTTCGCTGAAGGAGATCGAAACACTTGGTTCTTTCAATTGACAGCCTCAGCAAGACGCAGGGCAAACTCTATCAGTGTTTTGAAAAGGGGGAGGAGATCATTATGGATCCAGTAGCGATCAGTAGTCATGTCTTTGAACATTTTTCTAGTCCTTATAACAACAAACAGAACCTGGAATTAGTTGACTTTGATTTGGATTTCAGGAAAATAAGGGATATGGATGCTTTTTTTCTGGAAAGCCCTTTCTCGGAACAAAAAGTGTGGGAAGCTCTATTCTCCTCGGATAGTAATCGTGCATCAGGTCCAGACGGCTTAAATCTGGGGTTTTCCAAAAAATTATGGGCACAGTTAAAAGCAGAAATTATGCGGTTCTTTATGGATTTCTCGAAGATTGTGATTGGGAACCGGGGATCAACCACTCTTTCATCACACTTATTCCAAAGGTGGCAAGTCTGGAGCCACTAGTGAATTTCGCCCAATCAGTTTGGTGGGCAGCATGTATAAATTACTTTCAAAAGTGTTCACTAAAAGATTTAAGGGCTGCATCGGTCAGATTATTGGGGACTCGCAATTTGCCTTCATAGCTGGTCGTCAAATTCTTGATTGTTCTTTAATAGCTAATGAGACAATCGATTTTGTCTCCAAATCCAGGCATAGTGGAGTGGCTTTCAAAATCGATTTTCATAAAGCGTATGATACGATCAGTTGGGAATTCTTACTGCAAATCTTGAAGAAATGTGGCTTTAGGGAGAAATGGTGTATGTGGATTTACAAGTGTATTTCATCGGCTAAGATTTCAATCCTGGTGAACGGAGCTCCAATGGAGGCATTTTCTATTTCGAGGGGGTTGAGACAATGATGCTCCTTATCCCCTCTTCTTTTTAACGTTGTTGGTGAGGCTTTAAACCTTATGCTTAAAAAAGCGTATAACAAATGGTTTCGTGATTGGGAGAGGGGAGACGAGTATGGAAGTATCCCATCTCCAATCCGCTGATGACCTTCTCATCTTCTGTGGTGCCTCGGGGATGCAAGTTAAAAATGTTAAAAGGGTTCTGAGAGCCTTTGAGTTGGCTTCGGGTCTAAAGCTAAATATGAAGAAAAGCAAAATCCTAGGTGTTAATACGGATCCGTCTCTCTTACATCAGTGGGCGCAGGATGTCGGTTGTTTAGTGGAATCCTTCCCTACGAAGTATTTGGGCCTTCCACTAGGGGCTAGCAGAAATTCGTCATCAATTGGGGAACCGGTAGTGAAGAATTTCACAAGCAATTGGAGGGATGAAAAGCTAGATACCTGTCTTATGGTGGGCGGTTAACTCTGATAAAATTAATTCTTACAAGCCTTCTTATGTATTATTTATCCTTGTTTAGGATACCGGCCTCCGTTGTAAATAAATTAAACAGACTCATGTCCAATTTTCTTTGGGGAGGTAATTTCGAGAAACATAAAATTCATTGGGTATGCAGGGATTCATGTTGTAAATCTTTCGAAGGAGGAGGCCTTGGCATTGTTAATTTGAGATGACGATGAACAGAGCTCTCCTTGGCAAATGAATTTGGAGATACGGTAATGATCGAGCAAGTCTGTGGAGACAGGTGATTCAGTGTTTATCGCCTAGAGGTAAGAAAGTATCTTGCCTTGGTAATCGCTATTTCTCTTGGATTTGGAACTCCATTTTACATTCTTTCAGAAGTGAAGACGATATTGGTAATTGTGTGAGATTAAATTTGTCCTTACAAGTGGGAGATGGTAAAAATATATCCTTCTGGAATGATGTGTGGCTGGGTAATTCATCTTTGAAGAGCAGATTCCCCCGCATTTATGCGTTGTCCACTAATCAAGAAGGATGTATAGCTGATTTTGGGAAGAAAGCAGAGATAGGTTGGTGCTGAAATATTCCCTTGAGAAGGGCTCCATTTGATAGAGAAAAGCCGATCTGGGATGATTTCTTAAACATCCTCAAAGACTTTAGCTCAAGCGTTGGAAACGGATTGGGTTCGGTGGCTGGGTTCAAATAATGGAGCTTTCTCTGTCAAATCTTTAAGGAATTTGTGCTCGAGCCCGCTTCTTGCTAATGATTTTTGGAAAGACTTTATTTGGATTGGTTTTGCTCCCCTAAAGGTCGAATTGTTTGTTTGGTTGGTTATGAGAAAACGAGTTCCGGTTAAAACTGAACTTATAAGGACGGGTGTTCCTCAATCTCTAACAATCTTTGCTCTTTTTGTCTAAATTTTCCAGAAAACATTGAGCACCTTCTCTTCTCTTGTTGGTTCAGTTGGCGGATTTGGATGAGCTTCTGTACTGAGTTGGGAATATCTGCTGTAATGCACAGTGACCCCAAGGTGTTTTTGGAATCCTGGGGAGCAATGGGACTATCTTCGGTCAGCCAGGTATGGAGTTTAATCCCATTCGCAATAATATGGACTATATGGTTATCTAGGAATGAAAATATTTTCAAGGAAAAATCCATAGATTGGTTGCAATTACTTTTCTTGGTCAAGTTTCGTCTTGCTTCATGGATTAAAGCGAAATTTGTTGATTGCTCTATCCATTTGGATTCAATTGTTATTGAACCCCTCCTGGTTTCTAATAAAATCCTTAGACCAAGTAATTGTGTTGCTTCGCCTATATGGTCTCCTCCTCCAATAGGATTTGTGAAACTCAATGTTGATGGGGCGGTTGCGCCCGGTGGTTATAATGCTGGAATAGAGTGGGTGCTAACAAACTCAAATGGTGCGATATTGCTTCAATTCTCCGAATCATGTAACGAATGTTCTCCTGCACTGATAGAACTATACGCTGTTAAGAAGGGTCTGGGTAAATTCCTTGATTCTGCCTGGTGTAAAATGAATAGATTAGTATTGGAATCAGATTGCAATTTGGTTGTAGATTGGATATCATTAAAATCTGGACCTCCGAATATTCTTCCCATGGTTTTGGAGATTTCTACTGTTATTAAGGAGTCAGGCATAGTCGTTAGATGGATTCCTCGAAGCTGCAATTCATTTGCCGACTCTCTTGCCAAAGCTGGTATTCAATAACACTGTTTTTGTGTAGGAAAAGTTATCGGGGTGGCAGTGTATTTTCTTGCGATCAAGGTGGCAGGTTGCTCTCTACTCTCATGGTCTGCTTCGGTTCTCCTAGCCCCTATCCAATTGAGATATGATTTCCTGTACTATAGGTGGTGAAACGGGGGTCGGGTTACATGGGTGTTATTAGTATGGTGGTTCCTTAAAGGTTTTTTGCTAGTGGTATTTCCTTTGTGGTTTATGTATGTAGTTCATACTTGTATTCTCGGTTTAATGAAATCAAATGGAGCACTCTTTTCTCCTTCCGTTGTCGCGAGCTTTAGCTTGGTCGAGTTAAGGAGGGGTTTTAATGAGGCTCTCCTTTACTTTTAAAAAAAATCATTTAATAATTGAAATTTAACTTAATTAAACAAAACTATGAATTAAAGTAAAACTGTGAAGAAAATATTATTGTATTTGATTGAAGGATTAAATTTAATGAATTAAATTGATAGAATATATAAGTGATGAGTATCAAATGTGTAATTACATCAAATATTTTAACTCTCATGTTAGTTATTTTGTCAAATGTTCATGACATAATGTTTTATTGGTATCATTTAAATAATTAAAAGATTTAGTTGATAAAATTGAAAGATTGTTGGTTAAAATAGAATCCTTCCATCGTAAAATGGTTATAAGTGTAGTTTTTTTCTAATTCATTTTAGATAATGATCAGATTATTTCATATTATTTATTTAAATTATTTTAAAATAAAGTTAATATTAGATTTAAATTAATTCAAACTTGATCAGAATGAGTTAGAATTGTTGATTTTTCATATCAAATTAAAATTTTAAAATAAAATAAAATTAGTATTTTTTATTTTATTTTTTATTACAAATATGAAAAGGGTTAAAAATGATATTTTTCATAATAATATCGGTAAAATTCGAATTCTGAAGTTAGTATTTATAGACGACTCCACTGTACTAGGATTTTTGAGTTCCTAAACGTAGTTCTAATCTTCCCTTATAAGACAAGTCTCTCGTTTTCACTTCTCAACGATGCGTCTCATAATCCAATCTCAAATTTCAAAATCCTTATCCCAGAAATCCATCCATCGGAAATTCCCATTTGATTTCCCGAAATCCCATTTTCACTTCACCCCAAACCCTCAAGACCAGGCAAGCATTCACATTTTTCATTTTCTGGGTCCCAAAAAGAAGTCTGCTTTTCTCCATTCATTTGCAAATTCTGATGAAAGAACTGGCTTTCAGCAAAATCCATATGAGAAGTATTCGTTGAATCTCCAGAACGTTTTGAAAAACCATAGAAATAGCAGAACAGAAGAGATTGAGTTAGCTCTTGATCAATGTATGGTCACGATAACTGATGGTTTGGCCTTGGATTTCGTTAGGCGAAACCGGTCTGATTGGAAACTAGCTTATGTTTTCTTCCAATGGGTGTCTAAAAAAGCTGAAATTTCTCTTGGTTTTGATGTTTACAATGAAATTCTTGACATCCTGGGAAGAATGCATCGGTTCGAAGAGTTGAATAAGGTGTTCGATAAAATGTCTGAAAGAGAAGGGCTTGTTGATGAAAGGATTTTTCGGATTTTGCTTAATAGGTATGCTGCTGCACATAAGCTGGAGGATGCGATTGGGGTGTTCAATAAGAGGAAAGAATTCGGAATCAAGGATGATTTGGTTGCATTTCAAGTTCTTTTAATGTGTTTATGTAGGTATAAGCACGTAGACACTGCAGAAACTTTATATCAATCAAAAAGGAGAGAGTTCGGCTATGATTTAAAGACGATGAATATTGTTCTCAACGGATGGTGCGTGTTGGGGAATGTACATGAGGCTAAAAGGTTTTGGAAAGACATAATCGAGTCGAAATATAAACCAGATTTGGTTACCTATGGAACATTTATAAAGGCCTTGACGAAGAAGGGGAAGCTAGGTACCGCAATGAAATTGTTTCGGGGAATGTGGGAGAAAGGGTGTAATCCTGATGTGGTGATTTGTAATTGTGTCATCGATGCACTATGCTTCAAGAAGAAGATTCCCGAGGCTTTGGAAGTGTTAAACGAGATGGAGGAACGTGGTTGTGCCCCAAATGTCGCAACATACAACTCGCTTATCAAGCATCTAGGCAAGATTGGGAGGATGGAAAAGGTTTATGAGATCTTGGATGAAATGGAAGGGAAGGAAGGGTGTTCACCAGACAATGTAACTTTCAATTACTTGCTCCAGTTTTCGAAGAAACCGGAGGATGTTCCTGGTATTTTTGAGAGGATGGAGAGAAACGGTTGCAATATGTGTTGTGATACATACAATTTGGTCTTGAGGTTGTACGTGAAATGGGATCATGAAGAAAAAATTAGACATACTTGGGATGAGATAGAGAAAAGTGGATTTGGACCGGACCGGCGATCTTACACAGTTATTATTCATTGGTTGCATGACAAGGGAAGGGTTGAAGATGCTTTGAGCTATTTTAATGAGATGACATCTAAAGGAATGGTGCCAGAGCCAAGGACTGAGATCTTGGTGAGTGCCATGAAGAACAAGTTGAACGAGCAAGAAGGTGAAAAGCACAAGGGCCGAGGGATAAATGGTAAATCACCGAGGCTTAGGTCCAAAAGGTTTAAAAGAACCAAAGCTGGGTAATGCTTCCTCTAAAATTGTAACATGGTTTTACTGATGTGCTAATCCTATATGCTATAAGCCTATAAATGAAGGAAACCTATAGTTTTCAACTGCTAGCCTTTATTTATTACCACTAATCAGGTATGGCTTTATAGGTATTGGATATTTAAGCTATAAAACCTTTTCTGGATTTTGTGATTCTTATGTTGACCAAGCATGTCGGATTGTTAGTCGTGAAGTGGACGACCAGCCACCATTTTTATGATTTGCAGTTCCCCTGCGATTCAGATTCTGGTACTTCTGGTTTTGTTGCAAGTATTCATTGAAACGGAAAGAGAATGGGAATGGTTAATGAGAGAGATCCCGGAAGTGTTACTACTGGGGCATGTTTAGTAATGTCCAGAAAATTTACGAACTCAACAGAACATGATCCTCAAAATGTGTTCAAAGAGGGATCATTTAGACAACAGAACCGACAATGGAGTAACAAATAGCAGTTGAGGTTCACTACCTAGGGAAACTAGAAGATTTCTGGACATGGCTCCTCTTCTAGGCTGCATCTGCAGCTGGAGCAGGGGTATACCAGCCATGGTGGATTTCAACAGCCTTCTTTCTCCTTGCAAGACGAGACTTTCTGCGTGCTCCGGTGTTCCTATGCAGTGTTCCCACTTTTACTGCTTTATCGATTGCGGAATAGGCATCAGCAATCAGTTTCTCAATTGGGAAGATTTCTTCAGCTTGAGCATCAGGTTTCTTCCTCAGTGTGTCGAGTTCCTCCAAAACCTTGAACAAGAACACACAATACATTAGAATTTCCCGGCACATCACAAATCATCTACAAACAGGCAATAGAACATATTTACTTGCACTTTGTCTACGTTGCTTAAGATGTTTTATTGCGCAAATCAAATGAATCGAAGCGTTATTCAAGTGATGAAAAGGATTCATTCATATGAAAGAAGTCATACAAAGAACCCTAGGACACATGAATTATGCATATCCTAAAACCCCACAGTTAACACAATAACCATTGTTAAGGAATCAGATAAGTGAATTGTAAAATCTATTTACCTTCTTCATCCGAGTTTTGACTTCAGATTTCTTTGCTTTGTTGTAAATTCGCCTCTTTTCGGCCTGACGAGCCCTCTTAGCAGCTGAATCGGCCTTCTTCTTCGGGGCAGCCTCACAAACAACAGAATAACGATTTGGTTTTTGAGTAACTGTGCTAAAACAAAGGCTCCCTGCAACAAAAAATTAAAACACATTCTAAACTCATAGTCTCAAGTTCTGCAAAAAAAAAAAACATTCTAAGGAAGCAGTCAAGTTCTAAAATAAAATCTAGTAGGAAACAAGAACAATAATGGGGATTGGAAATGCAAATAAACCCAGAAACATATACTTAAAAATTTCGACTTTCCCCGGGATTTTCCAGCCATCAAAACATTTAACCTATAAAAGAACAAAAACAGAATGTGTTGCAATGGAATCACGTAATGCCATCAGCTAAAATTTAACTAGATGAGAATTCAATCATGATTTTCAATTCAACTAAACAAAAAGAGAAGTGGGTATAGCATAAAACACGACAACATGACAAAATAATAGGGAAAAGAAAAGAGTTACCTTCGGAGAGGAGATTGCTAGAGATGTTTTTGGAGAAACTGAGAGTCTTGAAAGCACTGAAATTTTGATGTAAACCATAAGAAGAAGAAGAAGAGTTGATATTGTTTTTAAGTAAAAGGCTTTTGAGCTTGTTTTGAAGACTGAAGCACGGAGAAGAAGACAGGCAGCAATTAACTGCAGTCGCCATTTTTTTCCTTCACTTCCTGATTCTGTACACAATCGAAATTTGAGTTTTTTATGTTTTCTTTCAGCGTTTTTTTGCTTATCCATAGCCAGAAGAAGAAAGCATTAGTGGATTTTTCGTAATTCCTACTTTACCCTTGTCTTCTCAAACTATCGAATACAGCTTGAATAACTTTTTAAATTTTAATTACTTTCCATTTAATAAAATTATTTTATTTAAAATATAATCATATACATGTATTATGTATATATATTCTTTTATTAGCATGAAGTAGTTATAAAATAATATTTGTTGATAAATTTTTTAGTTAATTAATAATAAATAGATACATACCATATAGATATATAATTATACAAAATTAAACTTTTTATAAAAATAATACTTCTTTATATCATTTAAATTGCTCAATATTTATATATATATATGGAAAATATTGAATATAGATATATTCGACATTTATTTATATTTTGTTATTTGTTTAGAATATTGAAGAATTGTATCTAATATTTATATGGAAAATAGACAAGAATATGCAGCAAATACTAAGATTAATTAATAGTAGAACAATAACATTAATCAGCAGTCTTTTTCAAACACATAAATGGAAATTCCTTAAGTTCTAGTAATTAATTAGTAAGTCCACATGCAATCAAGCTCAGTAGGACCCGTATAGGACATCTTGCCATCAGCAACAGATACGGCCCCCAAGTTGACAGATGAACCACCGTGAAGTGGCGTCGCCACCTCCGGTGTTGGCTGGGAGAAAAAGGAAGGGAGTTGTGAATTCTCCTCGAGAGACCCCAAGCTTGGAAACACCGGAAAACCCTTATTTCTTGTACACGTTGCAATGGAATCAAAGCTTTGGTTGATCATTTGGGGTGGAGGCAGTGGCAATGCAAGGTCGAATCCGCCGTGGTAAGCAGGAAGGGTGGCAGCATTGGTGGAGAAACAGGACACGTGCTCGGATTGGTTACAGCTGTCACGGTCAGTGACAGTGAGGGAAGCGCCGGTAACGGCAGTCGTGGGATCCAGGAGCGGTGGAAGGGAGACCGAGGAAGGAGAGCTTGGTTCTTGATAGAGCACCATGGAGGCGGCGCTCATGATGGTTTTATGGCTCCTCCGCCACTCTTCTGAAAGACCCTAGATATGACACATTCTTCCTGGAATAGAATAATCAATAAAAACAACTTTGCATTTCAGTAAACAATGAATAGTTTACTTTTTCATCCAAGCAAATAGCAATTAATGCAACAGTGAAACTAAATATCAGTGTGCCTATAAAATACTTGAAACAACACACAGAGGTTCCAAATCACCATGAAAAGGGCAGATAATCATACAAAATTCGTCAGTTGCGTAAGCAAAAACAAAAAAGAAAATGGCACCATCCAAAATAAACATTTAATAAATGAGATTTCAGACGTGTTTTCATTGGACTTCGTGTTAAAACTGTATAATGCTGCTGAAATCTTGCATGTAAAATACTGTAATCTTAACAAGTGTATAAACATGAAGGGAAGATACCATTTGTTTTTAGCGTACAGATTTAGAGAAATCCAGTTCATTGGCTAAAAGTCCCAATACTAAAGCACTTTTCTAAGAGATCATATAACACGGATTAATATTCACTGTTCAAAGAAACAAACATTGTTTTTAACATGCAAAGTTACTGTAAAAACATCCATTTTCAGCAATAAAATGAGAATTGGTAAAGGTTTTCGCCACTGGAATAAGTGCTAAAGGACATGAACTTAAAAAAACATTAGAATATCAAGTGAAAGAGAGAAGGGATAGAGACCTTCTAGAGAGATAATAGTATGCAAATTTGCCTTGTAAGAGATTCTTCATGCATGACCCAATTGTTTTTATCTCCTTTAGGAGCTCTTCCTCCATAAAAGACTAGGGTTTTCTTCATCCCAACAGGTGCACACGCCTTTGAACTGTAAATCTCCCTATCTTTCCCACTAGCTTTCCAATAACCAGCTTCAGTAGCACGGTTAGTTCTCAACCCAGTCGGTGTTGAGTTAATCTAGTTGTCTCCAGGAATTGTCTTTGTATGTTTTTTTGAATTTTAAGCATATTTTAGGTGGGTGAATTTTAGAGTCAGCAGTTACTAAAGTATGGTAGCAGTTATTTAAGTGAAGTTGATATGGTTAGTTTTTTTTAGAAAACGTGGGCTGTTATGTTAGTGGTGCAATTATATTTTGTATTTGCTTGTATAATAAAAAAACCAGAAAATGATGCAGTGTGTTGAGCATCACAAAATCCTTAGTGTTTTTTTTTTGTTTTTCAAGTTTGTTACTGCTTTGAGAAAACTAACATTTGGTAATCAGAGCCAGGTTGTCAAAGCAATGGACAGTGAAGTAGGAGACCAATCACAAACACTTGCAGTGGTCAAACCGATGGCAAGAGGAGCTTCATTCCCGATCCAATATCCAACGTTAAGCGAAACGAACTACGACATATGGGTTGTCAAGATGAAGATAATCTTGCGTTCGCTAGGAGTATGGTCAGTGATCGAAGATGGAGACACAGACGACGACAAAGATCAAGGCGCCATGGTAGCCATTTCTCAAGCCGTGCCAGATGATGTGATGATGGCAATCACTGAGAAGCAGACGGAAAAGGAGGCTTGGGACGCACTCAGGGAGATGCGGGTTGGTGAAGATCGCGTTAAGAAGGCACGCGTACAGGTGCTGAAACGGCAACTGAACAAGTTACACATGGAGGATTCAGAGACAATAAACGAATTTTCCATGAAGCTTACCACACTGGTGGGTGAGATTCGCTCGCTGGGCACGAAGCTCGATGACAGCGAAGTTATTGAAAAATTGTTCAGCGCAGTTCCAGATAAATTTCTCCAGATTATTGGAACAATTGAGCAGTTTGGCGATATTGAGATGATGTCAGTTTTAGAGGCGATCGGTCGTCTCAGAACTTTCGAGGAAGGGCTTAAAGGACGACTGCACTCAAAGAGCAGTGGAGAACAATTACTCCTTACCCAGGCCGTGTGGGAGGCAAGAATTCCAAAGGCAAAGAGAGATGAAGGTTCATGCAGCAACAAAAGAGGAGGACGTCACGGGAGAGGATGTGGTCGTGGGCGTGGAAATGGTGGAGGTCGAGGAAATGGTGAACGCAAAAATGAAGACCGAAAGCCACGCAATTTCGACAAATCCAAGGTTAAGTGTTTCAATTGTAATGAATATGGTCACTTTGCAAAAGAGTGTCCCAAGCCAAATCGAAGAGAGAAGGCCAATCTTGTTACAACACAAACCGATGATGAACCGACATTATTGATGATTGAAACTTATGTTCTCAGCCACACAATACAGAACGAACATGTGTTACTACACGAAGACAAGGTGGTGCCAAAGATGAACAACACCCAAGACAAGGCTTGGTATTTAGATACCGGCGCAAGTAACCACATGACCGGTTGTATCAGAAAATTTGCTGAAATTGACACGACCATTAAAGGGTCAGTCAAATTTGGAGATGGCTCGGCTGTAGAAATACAAGGAAGAGGTTCAATTTTATTTGAATGCTTCACAGGTGAACATCGTGTACTTACTAATGTCTACTATATCCCGAAGTTGAAGAGCAACATAATAAGCCTTGGTCAGTTAGAAGAGAATGGTTGCAAGGTTGTAATTGAAGGAGGAGTAATGTCTATCTTCGACAGATCACAAAGGCTACTAGCAAAAGTGAACAGGTCAAGGAACCTGTTATATGTGTTTAACATAGTACCAGCCCTACCCGAATGCCTTCTCGCAAGGAGCAAAGAAGACGTTTGGCGCTGGCATGCAAGATACGGGCATGTGAACTTTTATGCCTTGAAGCTTCTAAGTCAGAAACAAATAGTGCGTGGCTTGCCCATAATCGAGCATGAGGACCGCATCTGCGATGGTTGTTTGATAGGAAAGCAACACCGAAATCCTTTTCCAACAGTGGTGAAATTTCGAGCAGAATCACCTCTTGAACTGTGGCATGGAGATTTGTGTGGGCCAATAACTCCTGCTACACACGGAGGCAAGAGTTATTTTCTGCTGTTAGTTGATGATTGTACTAGATTCATGTGGCAGGTGCTGATCCGAAACAAAGACGAAGCATTTGAGGCATTCAAGAAGATCAAAGCATCAGCAGAAATGGAGAAAACAGTAAGTTAAAGGCTTTTCGCACAGATCGTGGTGGCAAATTTACCTCAAATGAATTCAAGACTTACTGTGAGTTGTTGGGAATTAAGCGTTATCTCACGGCGCCTTATTCTCCTCAGCAGAACGGAGTTGTTGAACGAAGAAATTAGACTGTGGTCGGCATGGCAAGGAGCTTGTTGAAAAGCATGGGAGTCCCAGGCGAATTTTGGGGAGAGGCGGTATCAACTGCCGTATATCTCCTAAATCGAGCACCAACAAGAAGCATCGTCGGCAAAACTCCCTATTAAGCATACTACAACCGCAAGCCAACTGTTGATCATTTTCGCATCTTTGGATGTGTGGGACACGTAAAAGATGTTACACCTCATCTTTTAAAACTTGCAGATCGAAGCAAGCCAATGGTGTTTATTGGTTATGATTCGAATACAAAAGGCTATCGGATGTTTGATCCAAAGTCAAAACAAGTAGTGGTGACACGGGATGTCGTGTTCGAAGAGGAGAAGAAGTGGGAGTAGAGCAAATTTCCAGAAACAAAATCAGCAGAGAACACTCTTACAACACACTATTTTACCATAGCAGGCACATCTGATACGACAAATCAGAAAGATAAAGAGGGTGTCATCGATTCTGGAATTGGCATTGGCATGGATTTCCCACAGCCGACACAGGAACAAACTGGTGACCGATACCAGTATGCTACACCAGTGATGAACACGAGATCCAGAACATTTGTTTCGAACTCGCCTTATACTCCAGCAGCAACGGTTGAAGAATCAGTATCAACCGAAACACTACAACCCTTAACATCTGATGAGAGTTCATCAGTAGGACCACGGGGTAAGCGTGGCATCAAAAGCTTGTACGATGTAACAGTCCCCATAGAGTTGCAGTATTCGGGTCTGTGCTTACTAGGAGAAGAGGAG